GTCTTTTGCGCCGCACAGCATCACGTAGGCGACGGAGGACATCCCTGTAGTACTCTTTGGTGATTGTTTGACCCTGTGGTGCGTACTCGTGGTGTACCACACCGCGGGAGTCAAAGAAAACAGTCAGCATCACTTTAACGTTGCTGCGCACTTGGCGGGCCTTCTTTGGTCTTGGTGACGTGGAATGCTTCCACTGTGACGACTGGGATTTGGTTTCTGGGTCGTACCCGTACACCCAAGACTCGTCACCAGTGATTATGGTGTTCATGAAGTGGGGGTCACTGTTTGTGGAGTCCAGCATGTCCTGTGAGACTTCAACACGAAGTTCCTTTTGCTCCGCCGTAAGCAGCTTCGGCACGAATTTCGCCGCCACTCTCTTCATAGCGGAATGTGCCGAAAAAGTGCTGATGCCCACCTCTTCCGCAATTTCTCGGATAGTCACACAACGGTCCCGCATCACCATAGCGTTCACTTTGGCAATGACCTGGTCATTTTGGCATGTTTATGGCCGACCGGAGCGTGGCTCGCTCTCCACTGTTGTGCGGCCATCTTTAAACCGGTTGTACCACTCCTTAATCTGTGTTATGCCCACAGCATCATCACCGAAAGCCGTCTGAATCTTCCGAATGGTTTCCACCTGGCTGTCGCCCAGTTTCTGGCAAAATTTGATGCAGTAGCGCTGCTCCAGTCATTCCGTCATTTTCCTTGCAATGAAAAACCGACGAGAGCACTACACAGTACCTCACTCAATGGCTGCTTGCCAACAACTGACGCAATCAACAAGCGGGAAAAAATTCACTCATGTGCACGAAGGTTCAAGGTCGGCTCATGCAAGCTCGCTTGATTCAAATCCATCAGGTTATCGCAAAAAAAAATAAGGTCGGATACTTTTCTCACAGGCCTCATATAACAGAACATGCTTGGGTCATTTACACAACCTCATGTTGCCATAGTGACAAATAAATAATATTGAAAAGAAAAAAATAATCTCAAAGTGCATGCACAAACAGATACTGTTCAAAAATGACTCCGTTTATATACTAGCGACGTGTTTCTTGTGTTCTCTAGAACAATTGATAAGACACTCATGTCACGATTGATTTAGAGAAATCTATAGCCAGTGGTTGTAAACATTTTAAGCATAACAAAATTTGATCTGATTTCAGTGAAAATTATTCACTTATGTAACAGTACATATGACATTTTGTTAAAAATCTCTACATTATGGAGAAAAATGGATATCGTTATCGGATTCAGCGTACAGGAATTACTGTAGAACATGTAAAAATCTCAAGATAATAATACCATTGTAGGCCTGTTTTATCAAATTACTATACTGGTACACGTAAAACACTATTTTATCTGACTTTTTAACTAAATAATATGTTAGTTTAAAAAATTCTCATGTCTGTTCAGAGCAATGATTTAGTCAACAGATTTCAACATTTCCAGTTTAAATCCAGCTTCCACTTTCAAACCATTTACAAATGACTGTTAAATTTAAGTAGTTTGAAATGTGCTCTTTCTATTGGTTATAAGAAGTAGGTGTGAATAGACAAGAGGTTTCAAAATAGTAGTGGGTAGAGCTACTCTAGTAGATTTGCTAAATATATTGATATCTCAGCATAGTTTTGAAAAGGAAGCTTTGAATAACGCTGATATTAAGCCAGAAGTTTGGATAAGATATGTAGATGACACATTCGTGGTATGGCAACAGCAAGCCACAATAATTTTTTAGTTATTTAGATAGTAAAGAAACAGCAATTCAATTCATGTGTGATATTGAAGATAATAATAGCATTAATTTCTTAGACGTATTAGTTAGGAAATAAGCAGAAAGTAACTTAGAAACATCAGTTTATAGAAAACCTTTTGCTGTTCTTATGCCGTCGCACAAAGAATCATGTCATATAAAAACCCAAAATATATCAGCATTTTATACATATGTTTATAGAGCTTTAAAAATATGTTCAAGACAGGAAGATTCAAATAATGAATTGTTATTAAGTATCTAGCTATTAATAGAGGATTTGAACCAAATATAGAAGACAAAGCATTTAAGAAGTTTAACAAAAATGCAAATTCAGTTAAAAATACCACATTAAAATCTGTTTACGAAGAAAACAAAAAAGAAACTAAGTTTACCTTATGTTCCAGGTTTAACAAGTCAATTATATACTATATTGGTCAAACTAAAAGGAATTTAAAATATAGATTGCAAGAACATAAAAGTTACTTAAGAAATAATAAAATAGAAATATCAGCTATAGCCAAACATTTAAAAACTACCCAACATACAATATTATGGGGGAAAACTTTAGTTTTAGCTCAGCCTTGAAGTTTTATATCATTAAATATTAGAGAAACATTAGAAATAATGAAATATAAAAAACAAGTATTAAATAGAGATGAAGAATCAGCAAGTCAATACATTGATATATGGCGAGATATATTATAATTTTTTTTTGTTTTTCAATTACACTAAGGAAATATGCAAATAACAATGAAGTAATGCAACAAGGGGAAAGTGTAAAATAGTCTTGTTAGTTACTCCTGAGGATGACATAATCACGTCGTACGTGTAGAGTGAAATTTCTATTTTAAAGTGGAAGCCGTACAGCTTCAATAAAGTTTTTATTGTGTAAATATGAAACGTTGTTTCTAATTATTTATTATAATTTTAAAAATTTTAAACACAAGTGCTGGTAGTGCGTATAGCACAATTTATATTTATTAGGAAAAAAAAGTGTGATTTTCTATACATTCTTCTCAGATACCAATGATAATGAAACCTTAAATCATGGCAATATTGTGTTACATAACCTAAATGGATATTAACTAAGCTAATATCTTACCTTCTAATGTGTATTTTGTGATTTTGAACAATTGCATATGATGTAAGCCATCCCCACCCCACCACATATAGTTCAGTACATGTATTAAATGTTTTTAGTGCTGTTAACATACTTTGTACAAAATAATTGCTTTTACCTGAAAAAACAACAACAATTTAAATTAAAATATTAAAAATATAGCTTATAACACTGCCTTCTTGGATTGTAAAGTCTCTTGAATAATCCTAATACACAAATAAAATGGTACACTAAACTTAATTCCCATTACAATCACTATATTATTAATTAAAGACATTAAATGCACAACAATAAAAAATTCTGATTAATAACAAAAAATCTATCTTATGCAGGTGTAGGACCTTTTGTTCCATATCATGTGCTGTCCTGTCATGGGGGAAGTTTTCTCTAGTAAGGTGGTTGAGTATCCTTGGTGATCTCACAGGAACCCTGGGTTCTTCAGCAGTTTATATTTTCACTGACATATTCTCTGAATTTGGCCATTCTCTCATTGATGTACTTCCAAAGATGATCATGGAGGATGACCTGTCCTTCATGATTCCATAAACTGAATCATTGATTATTTTCAGTGCGAGATAGTCTTTCTCAACACCTACTAAATCTTGGAGTTTTCCTCTTTTTTTTGTGGCAGGAACTGTAAAGGTATTCCATGTCATTTCCATGAGATCCAGAAATTTAGTCTTATCAATAATAACATCATAGCAACTTTTCATTTTATCAGTAGCTGATTTAAGTCTTTCCTGGGTAAAGTCAGATATGGTATCAGTGGTATTTCTTAGTGTCTTTTCTGCATATTCTGTTTAAGGCTTTGCTGGGTGATTATCCTTGGGATGTGAGTACAGAAGGTTCAATGGCACTTTATTTATATCTTTCTCTACTTCTTCAGTCTTGTTGTTGTAATCCCTTCTACACTCCTAGTTACTTCATGGTTCTTGCCTTCAATCAGATTAATTTTGGTCCTTAGTTCTTATTCAAATATTATGTCTTTGTTGCTTTAACTCTTCTTGTAAATTCCCATCTCTGATCTGGTTAAGAAAAAATTGGGAAGTTTAAAAAATGATAAGGCTCCTGAGCCAGATAATATTTCCCCAAGGTTTTGAAGGAGGCTAAACATTGGATACTTGAGCCACTTACTACTATTTTTTGTCAGTTCTTGAATAGTGGGCAGGTACCAGAGAATTGGGAGTTAGCTAATGTAACTCCTCTTTTCAAGAGTGGTGATAAAAATTGTCCCAGTAATTATAGACCCATTAGTCTTACATCAGTTGTGAGAAAAGTTTTGGAAAGTCTGTTAAAAGATGCTTTGCAAAGTCATTTAACAAAGTGTAGAATTTTATTGAATATTCAACATGGTTTCACTGAGGGAAAATCTTGCCTTAAAAATCTTTTAACATTCATTGAAAACGTTACTGCTTATGTAGATGAGGTTAGAGTGTAGATTTGTTGTATCTGAAATTTCAGAAAGCATTTGAAAAGGTGCCACATATAAAGCCTGTAAAAAAATTAGCTCTATAGTTGAGTGGGATAAGTTAGCAAATTGGATAGAAGAGTGGCTGAATGGAAGAAAGCAGAGTATTGTTATAAATGGAGTTCAGTCAAACTGGATTAATGTCACAAGTGGTGTACCTCAGGACTCAGTCTTAGGACCTTTGCTCTTTTTTATTTTTATTTTGAAGGGATAGTGAATAAATTACTTAAATTTGCATATGATATTAAGGTCTTGGATGTTGCTAGCTATGAAGTGGATGCTGCTGATTTACAAAAGGATTTAGATCATTTAATGAGTTGGGCAAATAAATAGCAGATGAGTTTTAATTATAATAAATACAAGATAGTGCATGTGGGTTATCATAATTTGAATTATACATATAATTCGGATGGTAATAACCTTAATAGTATTATGAAGGAAGGGATCTTGGTGTAATAGTCAATCATCCTTTGAAGCCATCCAAGCAGTGTGCTGTTGCTAGTGGTAGGGCAAATAGGATATTAGGTTGTATCTATAAAAATATTGAATACAAGTCTAAAGAGGTTATACTTTCATTGGTTAGGCCACATTTGGAATATTGTGTTCAATCTCGGGCTTCTTATCTTAGGAAAGACATTGAATTGTTGGAAAGGGTTCAGAGAAAGGTTACTAGAATGGTGCTTAGGATGGAGGGGTTGTCATATGAGGAGAGGTTGAAATCTCTCAAATTGTTTTGTCTTGAAAAAAGAAGAGTTAGAGGGGATTTGATTGAGGTGTTTAAGATTGTAAAGGGAATTGATAGTGTTGATGCATCATCTTTTTCAATGGTGTTTGGAATGGGTTGCCTTTGGATGTTGAGGAGGCAATAAATTTAAGTGAGTTTAAGAAAAATCCTGATAAGTATATGAATGATAAAGGCTTGGTTTAAGATTTTTATTTTAATTTAGTTTAGAGGATGGAACACTCGAGATGGACCAATAGGTCCCATGTTGTCCCAAAATGTGATGTTACTGATGATAAATTAATTTATTTTGTCAATAACATTTGCTACAGGCTACATTCACTGACAGGCCTAACTTCACACCAACATTTCAACAGAAACTCTGAAGCTAATATATATAC